CTCATTGTTATCCCTTTCTCGGATTTTCTCGGTGCTGAAGTTTGGCATGAGATTTTTTTTCCCTCTCGGTTAGTAAACCAGCCTGAACTTTTAGAGTTTTCTCGGATGAATTGAACAACTCGAAGGATTAACAAACGATGCACCGGCAGCGACTATCAGAAACTGTTTTTCTGGGGGTCGTCAGTTCAACATTTGGAAAATCTGGTGGTTGGGTAAGCGCACACTGTGCTTGGCGGTGGTTTCACGATTTGGCTAGGGCCCTTGAGATAGGGAAGGTGAGTCAGATATTAGGGGGGAAATAGGACCCGTGGGGCGATAGCTGTATGATATGACCATTGGAGGATTGCTTCTGCTAACACCATAGTTCAACCCCAAGAAAATGGGGGGGCTCTGGAGCTCCACAAGGTTTGTTGGTCACTTAATAGCCGGTCAAACTACTCTTCCACCGGTATTGGAGGAAGCAATTTAGATAGGCTAGGTGGACCCATTCAGCCCCAGTGTTGAAATGGGAGGCGCGCAAATTCATGCACTTTTTCAAGAACGGGGAGGAAGGCCAGTGATATCACATCTGTTAGGTAAACCAACACAGTTAATTTAAAGTTAGTACGAGCACTCGAGTACGTAAGTGAGCAGGCTTTGCTAACGCAAGTAGTCGCCGTGTTCAAAAGTGTCCGGATGCCTTGGCGCCAAGATTCGGATACTTTTGAAAAGCGCAGAGCGTGATTAAGGTCAAGGTTGCAACAGAATGTGACATGCGTACTGTAGAATACCGCAAAACCTCGAAAAACTCGCTATGCGGCCAACCCCTAGGTGCATAGTCTTATATGCAGGTCCCCTGCTGGGCGTGCTATTTTGCACTCGGGTAGGACAGGACTCAAGGCACTCTGGGTTGTTTTTTTCAGTCCACCCACACGCCCCTTGGTTTCTAGAATACACTGTGCTAGTTGGTTCTCAGAAGGGGGCTCAGGTCTGGTTGTTGTAATTTCTGTTTCCTTTGGCCACTAGCGCGCAGCACTAATGCACAGTAAGGGTGCCCCTGCCCGTGCATAGCGAGTTTTTCGAGTTTTTGCGGGGTAGTCCTGTCTCTAACATTACCCAATCGAATTCTGCGCGGAAGGTGCAGGCACCGGCCTTGAGGAGCCTGCCATACCGGTATGGCAGTTCCGGTACCGCTGCTTATTTCGATATAATTAGACCTCGCTAGAACATGCTGGGGCTGTGCGGATATTCCGTCGATCTACTACAAGTAGACTATCGGTACATGTACGAGTAGTTAATCCTTCCTATCTCCTGGACTACTGGGACTGTGGGAAATTTTGTGCCGCCCCTACTCCATAGGACGTAACACCGTAGGACAGAGGGCCTAGTTAGAATGCTTCCTGGTAGTTACCGAATATATTTTGATTTACCTGTCAGTGTCTGAGACACAGGTCAATAAAGAAATTCTGTTAATTATAATACTATAAATTCGCAGATGTGCATAGTCCAGACTGCAACCAATATTAGTCGCATGATTGTACCTACGCCTATCACCACTCAAGAATACTGAGTTGGTCTATGAGTCATCTATGTCTTAGACACTGACAGGTGGGTCAAATATATTTGGTAACTACTAGGGGCAGCACAAAAGTTTCTGCACTCTCAGCAGTCCTGGAGATAGGGCACTGACAGTCCAAGTAGTGACTTGGACTGAAAGGGAAGCATTTTGTCAGCTCAGCGCTGAATCCCCTTGAATTTTCCTCCCTAGACTGTGCTTCGACAATCATGAGAGTAAATTGATTCATAGAAGTTTCTCTATTGAAAGAGGGATTTCGCAAGGCGGAGGTTGTCCATGGGAAAATTTATCTCGTCAAGCGAATCCCCTGTGACGATCGTGTGTGTCTATGTAGTCGAGAATTCCCTCCTTCAGAAAAGGGGCGGAGAACACGTTTTGTGAAAAATAACCTACCCAGCCCCTCAGAGACAAAAAAACAAAAAAACCCAGCAGATCTTACCAGAGGGGGCACTTCAATGACATATCACACGGCTCGATTATTCTAGTTTTTATGGTATGATACACTGCTGTCACTTTTTTCTTATGCACTACTCGTATATGAATCCTAGCACGTGGCTCGATCCATTACTAGGTAGGAGCAAGGGGAAGGAAGTTGCACCGACGGTGTGATACAAGTACTTGCTACTAAACCCATGCAGGGAAAGAAATTCGATCGTTATACAAAATATTAGCATGGGTCTAATCGCCCCCAGCACGGTCATCGGGTAATGGTTGGATGTAGTTTTGCCAAAAGCGACTGGGCACGCAGCTGCCCTTCTTGTATGTAAGCGCTAGCACCTCAGTGCCCCCGCTCGCGGAGAACTTAAAAAAACATTGCTCTCCAAGGAGACCCTCCACGACTAGTTGCTATTTTCCACCACATCTTTTAAATCTTCACTCGGAAAGCATAGCTCAAGATAGTCTAAAGCCTGAAGGCCTACTCACCTCAATACTGAACGCTAGCTTTTGTTTGTCTTTCACTCCTAGAAAAAGAGAGAGCTATCATAGCCAGACTTTTGCGTTTCCCCTCTTTTTAGCCCACAACATTCCTGAGAATCCGAAATGGCAGACGCCTTCTCCGCTGCTGCCAGCGGCTTGGCTCTCATCCACCTCAGCGTGAAGGTTTTCGAACTTTGCTATTACTACTACGATACAATCAAGGGGAGGCAACAGGATTTCAAGAAACTAGGGGACGAGATTAAAAGTATCCATCAGCAGCTCGAGGAAATCCGAAGCCTTGCCACCGGAGACGATGAAAACAACCCACAATACCCAGCGCTCCTTGAATGGACAAAAAACGAAAGTTTGGGGGATTACAAGGCCACCTTGGAGGAATTGAGGAAAAAGTTAGATGTCCCGGGATGGAGGAAATCTTTAAGAAAATACGTTTGGCCTTTTCGTAAACCCAAAATGCAGCATTACCTAGGGTTAGTTGAAGAGCAGCGATCAAAGCTTCAATTATTGTTGGGTATAGCCACAACGTGGGTTATCCATTCTTCGGTTCCTTGAGAATCTAGCATCTCCCATTTCTTTTTTGCTTTGGCGGCAAGACTAACTAGTTGTTTAGGAAGACGGTAACGAGGGTGTTGCGAAAACTAGATGGTACCTGGTCACATTACCCCTAACCCTGTCAATGGTCTTTACTAATATCAGATATTCATAAAACGCCAGAGAATAAATACCAGGAAGTACAGAAATGGCTTAACGTCGTTGATCCAACCTCAAATTATTCGTCTGCACTTTCGCTTCGTGAACCCGGCACGGGAAATTGGTTGCTCCAGGGGGATGAGTACATCGATTGGAAGGGAGGTAGAGGAGGGGTTCTCTGGCTTCATGGTATACGTAAGTCTACGAACGAGTGAAATCTTTTGCCTCAAGGAGTGTCATTAACACTTGTGTCTTATAGCCGGATGTGGCAAAAGCGTCCTATGGTACGAACTTGACCGGGCGTCTGGAGGTGCAATATGATTTCCTGCTTGCTAACACTCTCTTTAGTGCTACTGCTATTGAAGATGTCCGAATTCTGTGCAGCTCAAACGATGATCATGCTGTAGGCTATTTCTACTTCAGCTTCAGCGACTCCGAGAAACGGAAATTGTACAACATGCTACTATCCCTTATTGGCCAACTTCAAAAAAGGCCTTCGGAGCGGGGTTTACCGGGCGAGGTTGTAGACCTATACAGTAGCACCAAGGCAATTGGAAAGTCGGCAGATACCAAATCCTTGAAAGATCTATTGTCACAGATTATAAGGGGTTTTCGGAAGACGTTTATTATTCTGGATGCATTGGATGAATTCCCTGGGGATGCACGCGGGAGTCTCCTATCGTGGATTGGCGAGCTTACGGCCGACCATAACGCGGGATCACTTTCCATTCTTGTCACCAGCCGTCCTGAGGCCGATATAGTGGAATATCTGGAACCGCTTACCGCTTTTTCCATACCATTACAATCTAAAAATCTTGATCCGGATATCTGCTCATATGTACGGAACTCTCTGGGGAGCAAGCCTGGATTCAAGAAATTTACCCCAGAGATTAAGAGTGAGATAGAGGACACGCTTGCCGCTCGCTCACAAGGAATGTATGTTGTATTCTATTTTTGAATTTTTAACTTAAGCTGACACAAGGTTGGATATCTAAAGGTTCCGGTGGGTGTGTTGTTTTTTGCAAATTCTCCAAGAATGCCTAACTCCAGAAGACGTGAGAGAATCGTTAAAGGAACTGCCGGAAGATTTAGACTCTGTCTACTTGAGGATCCTCGATGCCATTCCTACGAAGCAGAAGGAGTATATTCGGCGAGCTATGAATTGGCTGGCATTTTCAACAGTTCCATTGACATTAGGCCAGCTTTCGGAGGCCATTGTGATCGAATACGATGTCAATGAGTATGTGCGCGATTCGAAAACGCTTTTTGACCAGAGTTCCCTCATGAGCATTTGCCCTAGCCTTATTTCCTACGAAGACTCCCGGGACGGTGAATCTTCCACACGGGAAGAGCGCAGATTACGACTGGCACATTTCTCGGTAAAGGAATATTTGATCTCAGAACGTGCAGCTCAGGGCCCCAGTTCCTTCTATCATATTTCGGAGGAGAAGGCCAATTTACTCATGGGGCATGCTTGTCTCAGTCAAATACTGCGACATAGTGCACAAGGTACTATAAGCGGGAACAAAATCGAAGAAACGTCGTTTCTCTACCACAGTGCTCGCTATTGGTTCGTTTATACCAGATCTGTGGAGGATATGGCACCCACTCCACTCGCTGATGCTGCGGTGGGGGTCCTCGAGCTTGACAAGGGGTGGCTAGATATATATAACCCTGACGAACCTAACCGGAATCGCACCTACGACTCCGGAGTTTACCCACCAGCAGTCTACTATTCCTCCTTGTTGAATTTGGTGACAGCCTCGACATTCCTAGTCAATAGAAAAGAGGATACAGTAAACGTGGATGCTCGGGGTAGCAAGTATGGCAACGCACTACAAGCGGCTGCGTATCACGGGAGCAAATCGGTTGTGCGGCTTCTCCTGGAGCGTGGGGCAAAGGTGAATACCCAAGGCGGCGAGTATGGTAATGCACTCCAAGCAGCTGCAATTCAGGGAAACGAATCGGTTGTGCAAATTCTCCTTGAGCATGGGGCAGAGGTGAATGCTCAGAGTGGCCGCTATGGCAATGCACTGCAAGCGGCTGCGTATCATGGGAACGAATCGGTTGTACGGCTTCTCCTCGAGCGTGGGGCAGAGGTGAATGCTCAGGGTGGCCATTATG